GTCTGGGATGGGGACCATGAATCCGTTCTTTTAAAAAATCTCATTGGTGATTGTGGTGCCCATCTCAATTTGAAAACCACTGCTTTAGATGACACAATGACTCTTTCCCTGCTAATCTGTATAACAACCTAGTTCAAATCTAAGACATGGCAAAAGGAACAATTTCACTTTGTAAGCTTTGGGCAGAAGTTTAATGATGGTTGTGATGAGCTAAATATAAAGATCAGTTAAAAATATGAAATCCTGGTGCTCGGGACCAAATGGTATTGATTTTAAGATGTGTTGCATAGTGGTTTGGATTTTAGGCCTTGAGCTGCACATCCAGCCTGGGTTGGGTGCCATGTCTGCTACACAGCTGGGCAGATGTGGGCAGCCTGCTCAGGCTCTCCGGTATCGCATTCCTCCTTTGCCAGAGGAGGATGATAGCAGTCCATACAGTAAGCCGTACAAAGCCCTGAGCCTGATATTTGGTTAATGCTCAATAAATGTTGGCACTTGTTACCATTTAAGTGTTTTTGCAACTGGGGATATCTTTGGTGAGCCTAACTCCCTTTCTGACCAGGTGTTTCTGCTGGCTCCAGCATCTCTCTGTAGAGTGGCTGGTGAGGATGAAGTCTCTCCTTGGTCTCCACACACAGTCTTAACCGCAGACTGGGACCTTTTTAAACATCATTCTTGGACCAGTTGAGTTAACCAGTACAGCAGTTGAGCAGTTAGACAGCTTAGTGTTAAATCTTTAAGATATTTTTAAAATGTGTTTTTCAGCTCGTATAAACCAAATTATAAACTAAGAATCAAAGGTCAGTTTTGTAGTGATTTTTTTTTTTAAGGTTTTAAGGAAAGCAAATTTTCTTTTGTCTTTTTTTTTTTTTTTTTCAGTTTCAGTGAAGTTGTGGCCTGTATTTCCTCAGGTTCTAATTTATATAAGTTTGTGCTTTATTTAACAGCTTTTAAAAGCATGTGGGAGATGTATTTTCTAGAAATTTTTTTTTTAAGGACTATATAAGCTACCTGAAAGGGCTATTTTGTGCAAAATATTCAGTTTTAAAGGAGTTCTAATTCTACAAGTGGACATATCTAAGGCTCCCAAATTAAGGGATAAGGCATTCTTTTTCTGTATGCCTTAGATGTATGGATATAAAATTAGAAGACAATGTAGCATATAGGTATGCACTGGATAAGACAATGGGCTCTTGATTCAAATCCTGCCTTTCGCCACTTATTGGCTCCATGATTTTGGGCAAACTGCTGAAGTTCTCTATTCAGTTTCTTCATCTGTAAGAGGCCTAATAATATTACCTAATTAATGGGGTTTTAATGAATATTAAATTATGAAATTGTGTCGAATTAAATATATTTTGAAGTGTTTGGGTGGTACCTGTTACATAAACCTTTTAATTGTTAGTGATTATGATGAAAATGATGACATCCACCACCAAATCATCTGAACAAAAAAGAAAACTGGAGTAAAAATATATTTCAACATCTTAAATTTTTCTCTTAAACTATTTGAAAAAAATTTAAGTAAGGCAATTACGTGCCTTAGCCTCTGTAAAAATATTTTTTAAATTCTTTTAATGTAATATTTTATGTAGTAAGGTTATTCCTATGCCCTATGGGATGGCTTATCTGTCATGTTTACTTGGTGGTCAGATTTAGCAGAGATGCTAAAGATGTTTTGGGGGGATGGTATTTCTACATTACATTCTTTTCCTTTGTAAAGTTAAAAACATTTTTTAATCTGCAAAATTTGATTTCATATCAGAAATCCTGGATTCAAGTCTCTGTGCTGCCATTCATCAGGGAAGGCAGGTTACCTAGCTTGTAAAAACCTCTTCTCCTTCATCTGCAAAAGTAGAATAAGATACTGTATCTCAAATGTTGATGTGAAAAATAAATTCACCTCCTGATGGGGCTTTCTATCTCCCTCTGTTGAGCACTATTCAGTAGAAATAAAATGTGAGCCACCTGTGTAATTTTAAATTTTCTAGTAGCCACTTAAAAAAACAAATGAAATTAGTTTTAATATATTTTATTTAATCCAACGTCTAAAATATTATCAATTCCACATGTAATTAATATAACATTAATGAGATTTTTTTCATTCTAAAAATCTGGCAAGTGTTTCACACTTACAGCACATCTCAACTTGAAGTAGCAACATTTCAAGTGCTTGGGAGCCACATGCCACTAGTGGCTATCATGTTGGACAGTCCAGATCTAGAATATAGATTAATATTCCCCATCAGCATCCTTGAGCACTGGGGCTGCCTTGGCCTTAAGCAGCCTTATTCTTGAAACTGTGTGCACCTCTGGACAAATGAGCCTCACATTGCTTTCTTGAACAACCTAGATTAGTATCTTTGCCCCTGGGAGGATAGGCTCCTGCCCTTAGCCTTTTGGCTGACCTAGATGAAGACTTGCTCTGGGCATGTCATGTGCCTCTCTGTTTGGCCAAGGCCGGTAGACAACCAGGAATTCCTGAATACCTTGAGCATGATAAACCTTTTGAACCACAGAGCCCCAGGGCAGGATCAGAGATTCAGGACAAGATCAGGCTTTATAATACCCCTTCATTCTTGCCTCTTATCTGTACTATTTGCCTTCTTTCCCAAATTTCAGAGATGTATCTAGTGTCCCTGGGAAAAAAGCAAATACCAGCAATCTGCAAAATAATTCAGCTTTTTTTCCTTCTACCTCAGTGTGGCTAAGCAAGGCAGCCGTCCCTCCCAAACATTAACTTTTTAAAAGACATTTAGAATGTTTTGGAGGCCAAGAAATTTGGAGGACAGATATATTCATATCTAAGCTTTTTCTGTTTTAAGGTTTTCTAATACTGTCTTCATCCAAATTTTGTGAGAATTATAGTAAAGGGTTGTTACCCTAATAGCTGTATGTCGTGGTAAAAAGAGGTAGAGAATAGGGGACTCGGGTGTACTCTTACAACAAAAAAATCTGCTCAGATGTTACCTTCTTAGGAAGTCCTACCCTGATCACTCGTACCTAACATAGCTACGAGCCCCCAGCATGCACATGTGCGTTCTTGTGCTCTCTCCCTCCCCCCTCTCCCCCTTCTCCCTCTCTCTCCCCTTCCCTCTCTTCTCCCTCCCTCTCCCCCCTTCTCTCTCTCCCCCCTCCCTCTCCTCCCTCCCTCCCTCTCTCTCTCTCTGACACACACACACACACACACACACACTCTATCATTTTTCTATTTGTTTTGTAAATATCACTTATTACTAACTAAAATTCTTTCACTTCCCAAATAGAATATAAGCTCCATAAGGGTATGGACTTTGTTTTGTTTACCCCTGCACCCCCAACTTCTAGTACAATGCTTGGCTATTGAATCAATGAATAAATAAGTGAAAGGAAATACCAAGATACTATTCTCTGTATGTACTGATAATTTTAAAATTAGTTACTGAGGAGAATTCTTCCCCGACCATTGTTGCTCTGACCAGTATGTGTGATGTGTTTGAATTTTCAGACCTAATCTCAGTGGTAGGAATCCTAGTGTTTATTCTTGATCAATTGTTTACATAAACTTTTACTTGTTTTAGATAGTGTGGGGCTTAAGGAGGGGGGAAAGTAGTTTGTAATGGAGTTGTAAAAGGGGCAGCTGATCAGTACCAGGTGAAAATTTAAGATTACACAGGGTAATAAAATGGAGGAGGGGGTATTGGAATAGGGAATTGGACTGAAAAATTCTTATAGTTCAGATGCTGTAAACATGTCAAAGGTTTTTGAGCAAGACAGTTGATAGGTAAGAAGCTTAGGGAAAAGGTGGGAGAGATTCATAACCAGAAAGATTAGTATTATTTGGAGGAGTGGCAGGCTGTATAGGCTTGTGGCCAAAAAGCCACAAATCATATTTCTGTTGTCTTTGTTTATAATCTTTATTTAAAATCTTAATTATCCCTTTCAGTTTCTCAGTCATTCTTTCGGTTTACCTCTCGTGCTTTTGTACCAGCTTGATGTCACTACCCATACTTCGTGCCCCTTGGAATTATGGTATCTGTGAGCACAGACTCATCATACTCTGCACAGGCCAGAAGTTCCGTTGTAACTCCTGGCTGGTCCCAGGAGCACCCTGCCAGTAAAAAGTAATCCAGACATACTGAAAACTCTCAAGTATTATTAAGAACTATTTATGTTGCATTCAAATAAACTTTTAGTAAAAGAAATAAATGCAGACTTACCAGCTTTCTTTTTTTATAATATGTATATTTTTATTTTGCCATCCATCAATTTTGCTGATTTATCCAAGATCCCCGTGGATACCAAAATCTTCTGAGGCTCAAGTCCCTTACAGTCAGCCCTCCATATCCGCGAGTTCCACATCTGCAGATACCATCAGTCTTCTAAATAGAGCAACATAGAAAACCCATAGTTTCGTAATTAATAATTTGACACACACATAAATATTTGAATTTGAGATTCTGTATGTTCAAAGCTTACATTTATGAGTACTTTCTAGCCCTATTTAATTTTGAGATAATTTTAACAGAATATTTTTTTCATATTTCCAGTTTGGGGGTAAATTTCTAAAATCTCTAAAGATAACATACTAGATTTTCAGGTTTTTTCAACATTGCATGGAAAGTGAATCTTTAATTTACACAGATTTTGTGCTTCAGATTTGATTTTTATTTGGAGAAGAAAGGATGGGCCTGACTTACCAGCTTTTACCTCTCCTTGTTCTGCTTCTTTAAATGAAAACCCTATCATTTTATGTAAACGCATCAGCTTTTTTTATAGTGCTATGAATAAATTGTTTGGTTTGTGAATATATTTTAAAAAACAATAAGCAAAATAGTCTGTACTTTTTATATTGTGGCAGTAGGCTTTATTCCAGTTGGTTCTTCCTATAGTGTTATAATTTTAAGGTTTTATTGATTAAAGAATGCTATTTTACATGTAGTAGATAATTTTTAAGGACTATTTCTAATTACATTAAGTTCAAATGATGCATTTTAACCTAACATCTTTTTTCTTCTCAGTCTGTAAGACTTGTATTGTCCAGCACTTTGAAGACAGCAATGATTGTCCAAGGTGTGGCAACCAGGTTCATGAGACAAACCCGTTAGAAATGTTGAGGTACGTAAATGTAATTTTAGTTCAACTAACTTAAATAAATTATATAAACTCTTAATTTTTATCATGCATCATATTTGTTAGCGCTTTGACTCAGTTAATGTAGGTTTTATGATTTTCATTTTAAAGCATTTTACTTCAATTTAAAGTATTTTATTAAGAGGACATGAAAAACAAGGCTGTGATTATTAAATATTTAAGGAACACATTCCCAAGTTAAAAATTATAACTTTATCTCAGGCTCTAAGTTACTTTAGTTGTAGTTATTTTCGATTTATTTATTTATTTTCGCTGTGTTGGGTCTTCGTTGCTGCATGCAGGCTTTCTCTAGTTGCAGCGAGCGGGGGCCACTTTTCCTTGTGGTGTGCGGGCTTCTCATTGCGGTGGCTTCTCTAGTTGTGGAGCACGGGCTCTAGGCACATGGGCTTCAGCAGTTGTGGCTCACAGCTCTAGAGCGCAGGCTTGGTAGTTGTGGCACATGGGCTTAGTTGCTCCACGGCACGTGGGATCTTCCCGGACCAGGGCTCGAACCTGTGTCCCCTGCATTGGCAGGAGGATTCTTAACCACTGCGCCACCAAGGAAGTCCCCTATTTTCAGTATTTTAATATTCTACAAAATACTCTATATTTGCTGAGCTACACGGTAGTGGAAAGAGGGCAGACCTGATGGTCAGGGATACTAATCTGGATACTATTAATTTTTAAAACTGTATCATATATTCAAAAAGAGTGTACAAACAGTGTACAAACATTTATGTAAAACTTAAGAGAATTTTAAAAATGACTACCTTTTTACCATTTACTTACTGGTATAATCACTACACCAAATAAATAGTAATAATATAAAGAAGTATAATCATATATTTTTAAAGATAGAAGTGCTACATAAGAGCCTAATCCAAATCCTTTTTCAAGATTAGAAATTGAAATTTATAGAAGTGACACAACATTGCCTAAGGTCCTAGCAAACTCAGATGTTACTTCCCAGCTACAAGCCAGGTGTCCTCACCACTAAGCCCATTTTCTTCCCACTGTTCCTACCATAGCTGTACCATAGATGAACTGTGCAATCTCAGGAAAGTACCCATTGAAAAACAGAATTAGATATTCTCTAGAGAGGCCTTATTAACTTCATCTCTATGTGGTGTTTGCCATCATTCTGTAAGTCTGGATTTGTAAGTCTTACATTTTAGACTTCTTTTCTATGTTAGTACCTATAGTTGGAATAATTTGTCTATAAGTAAACGTCTGACCCATTGGTTTTCAAAGTGTGGTCCCCAAACCATTAGTATCTTATTAGAAATGGCAGTTCTTGGGCCCCGCCTCAGACCCTCTGAATCAGCAACTCTGAGAAGGTGCTGCAAGTGAGGGGCACCAGGGGTATGAAGGGAGGGACAGATGCCAGCTTTAAATAAAATGGTGAGGATAGGCCTCATTGAGAAGGTGAGATCTGAGCACAGAATTGCTGTCTCTGAGGGAATTAGCCGTGCATAAATCTGAGGAAAGCGTGCCTGTTCCAGGTCAGGACAGCAGCCAGTGCTCACGGCCTGAGTCAGGAGTTAGGAGTTAGGAGGGCACCTGCAACTTGTCTGAGGAGCAGCATGGGAGCCTGGGTAGTGGGCCAGGAGCTCAGAGATTGGGGACCTGATCTCTGACCTGAGCAATTAGAGAATGGGCTTGTCATTAACTGAGATAAGGAAGACTAAGGATAGAGCAGGTTTGGGGGACAGGTAGATGGGGAGTTTGGATTTGGACAAGTTGAGTCTGTTAATCATTTCAGAGAAGAGAGAAGTTGGCAGGTGAATATACAAGTCTGTGGTTCAAGGGGAGAGGTCTGGCTGGGGTTAAATATCTGGTAGTCTTCAGCATGTAGACAGTATTTAAAACTGTGGGACTGGGTGAGATCATGCACGGGTGTGAGTGCAGAGAGAAGAGTAGAGGACCAAGGATTGATCCCTGGAGCATTCCAACATTGAGAGGTCAGGGAGAGGAGGAAGAACCAGCAAAGGAAACTGAAAAGGCACAGTCAGTACAGGAGAGGGAGGATCCAAGTGTGTGGCTTGGAAGCCAAGCAAAGAAGAGGGAGTGATGGACTGTGTCTGATGTTGTGAGGTGAAGACAGAGTTGACAGTTGGATTTAGCAACTTGGAGGTCATCAGCCCTGACAAGAGCACTTTCAGTAGAGCTGTGAGACAAAAACTTAACTGGATTGTTACAAGAGAGAAAGGGAGGAAGAAGAATTAAAAACAGTGAGTATAGACAACTTTTTCAAGTTTTGCCACAAATGGGAGTGGGAGCAAAGAAATGGGGTGGTAGCTGTTCAGAGAAGTACAGTCAAGAAGGTTTTCTGTTTTGTTGTGATATGGGAGGAATAATGGCATGTGTGAAGGGACTAATCCAAGAAAGAGCAAAAAGGTAATAATAGAGTTGGGGAGAGAGGGCATTGCTGAAGCACTGTTCTTGGGTGGTTGAGAGGGAGTGAAATCTAATAGAAGAGACTGGCTTCCTACAGGTCATGTATAGCAGCAGGTAGGAGGGCAGAGTAGACATGGGTGCAGATGCCATAGGTAGATGTGGTGGTCAGAGTCTGCAAGTTTGTGTCTCACTGAGGAGAAGATGTTTATCAGCCAAGAGTAAGGATGGAAAAGGCGGGTGTAGGGGTTGGCGAGAGAAGAAAGTGTGTTGTCCAGGAAAGTAAGAGAATAAATGGACCGCGAAGTGTAGTGTGAGTCCTGGCAACCTGAAAGGCACACCTGGGTCGTAGTTACGAATTTGAAGGGGTGTGGTTGGGCTTTCCAGCCCATGGGTAGAAGGTGATGGAGAGCTGGATTGGACTGGTGGTGTGGTTACACCACATGATTTTGAGCAAGTGAGGGAGGGACAGGGGAGTCCAAGGTACACGCAAGCTGTGGCTCTAATGACTGCTGTGGGGTAGTCCTGAATGGACGGCGAGGGCAGCGAGAACATGATGTTGGTGAGGGGTGATGTCCCACGGGGACAGGAATGGAACTAGTTGATTCCTGAACTGTTTGTGCATAGTAAGAAGAAAATTCTTTCAGAGAATTTGGGAATGGGTATGTAGCAGATGAAGAAAAGAAAGCAATTCCTAACGCCCGGGAAAGAAAAAAATTGAAGGAGGGGGTATCTTTAATCAGAGTACACTGTGAATATTGAGATAACCCTAACCATGTAAACACTCATTATTTTTAAAATGACAGTAAGACTATTAGGAAGATGGGAGTTGGGAAAACGTATGTTGGGAGGAAAGGGGCATGGCAGGATGGTATCAGAGAGCTAAACCTTTATCTCCCACAGGAGGTCAGAAAGACCTAGACAGCAGAGAAAGAATGGCTTTGTTTTTTACTCTATCATCCGTCTATCATATATATAGAAATATGAAAGTAAATACTAGACAGAACAGCTCGGATTTGAAAGCAGTTGCCTCTGGGGTTGTAGGAATCAGGAACAGAGAGAGCGGGGCATAAAAATGTTGTGTTTTCATATAAGGTTACAGGGATGTTTGATTTGTAAATTATACATGTGTATTACATTGATAAAACAAATATTAAGAAGAAGAGAAATAATACTTCTCTTAAACACTGCTACTATTAAATAGTCTGGGAAAACTCTGTGAAGGAGTTAGTAGGTAAGTCCTGAAGAATCAGGTAACATCGGTTTGGTTGGAGAGTAGGAACTGGAAAAAAGTATTTGAGCCAGGATGAAGGGCATGAGGGAGGAAAACAGATTGGAAAACGCGAGGCATTCTTGAGGATAATTGAGTAAGTCAGTTGGCTAGAGAAGAGCAACAAGAGAGCAGCACCAGTTACAGTTTGCAGGTTGAACTCAAGTTATATAAACACGTGAAGCCAGGTGGTAGGAAGAAATTAGTTCTCGAGCAGGCACATAATGATCAAATTAGTGCTTAAGGAAAATTCACTATGAGCATGTCAAGGTAAAGGGAAACATCTCTATGCTGTCCTCTAAATAGGGTGGTAATTGAGGGAACGGAAGGATGGGAACGTGGAAAGACTGGGTGGGAGAAACATTGAGAAGCAGCTGTCTGGGGCTTGGTGAGTAAGTATGTGAAGCAGGAGAGACAGGTAGGTTAAAATAATACTTGCATTTTGAGCCTATTTGGGAATGATATGGTATCATTTCTAAATTTAATTTTTAAAAAGTAAGACAGGTATTCAGTATTTTGTTGAAGGAGAATAGATAAGATAGTCTTGACATATATGAACAAAAGGAGGTGCTTGGGATATTCACCATCTGTTGGAAGTATGGAACTTGAGCTCAGCAGAGAGATGCAATGTGTGTTTGTGTATATATATATATATGTTATCTGCCTATATGTTAGTTTTGAAGTCACAAAAGTGGATGAGATCTTCAAGGAAGGCAGCCTGTAGAAAAGGTCAGAGGGTGCAGAGAGCAGAGCAAAGGAGAATACTCAGATGTAGAGGTAGTTGGAAAAAGAAAAATATCTTGGGGACAAAGGGAGTTGATAGAAAAAAAGAAAAACCAGGAAAGGAAATTTTCAAGGAGGCAGCATCAGGCAGCACTGATAAACTACTGCAGAGCAATGAGGAGAAAAATGACTTTAAAAGTAAGATTTTTTAAATTTTAGCTCTCAAAAAAATTTATATCTGTTCATTATGGAAGTTATGGATGATTTGAGGAGTTCAGTCGAGTAAAAGAAGCAAAAATATGTGACAGAAATAATGTCAACTGTGATTTCATAGTTTTTCCGGTTGGAAGAAGAGGTTGTGTATCTGCTAACAGCTTGAAAAGACAATAGGTTAAGCCAAGGTTTGGGGGCTTTTTAGATGTGAGAAGCGTAGCCGTGTTTTCAGTTGGAGAAGAGTAGTGCCGCCGAGCAGGGTGAAGGAGATGAGCGGAAAGGGTGTCTCAGGAGCAGCAGGACAAGATGAAGAAATGAAAGCCGTGGAAAGGAAGAGTTGTGCTCAGATACAGCAGGAAAAGGAGACGAGAAAAATGTCAAGGGAAATATTTACGTTTTTTATCTCGGAAAAATGGTCTAAATTTCTCAGAAGAGAAGACTGGAGATGATTTCTTTCATAGGAAAGAGCCAGAGCTGTGGGGGAGATTTTGAAAGCAATAGCTGCTGGCTGCATCAGCTGCTGCTGTATAACAAACCACCCCTAACTTTCATGCTGAACACAACTGTAAAAGCACTTACTATTCCTCGCAGTTCTGTGTGGCTCACAGATCCAGGTGGGTCTGCTGGTCTTGGCTGGGCTCGCTCAGGTGACTGCAGTCAGAGGCTGGTCAGTTGCTGCCCTGCCGATCCTGGCCTGGGTTCTGTCCTGTTGGGTTGGACTGTCCATGACCTAGTGTGAGACGGCCTCAGCAGGGCAGCTTGGCTCCTTGGACATAGTGTCACGTCCTCCAGACTCGTTCTAATGGTGGCAGGATTCCAAGAAAGCACACCAGCAAAGCACATGATATGCCTCATAAGGCTTGCGCTCAGAGCTAAGCAGTGTCACTTGTGCCACATCCTTTTGGCCCGAGCACATTTCAGGGCTAGCCCATATTCTCAGAGTAGAGAAATAGACTCCATCCCTTTATCAAAGTCCTGTTCAGAGGGGCAAGATCGTAGACAGAGCTGGGGACGGGACCATTTTTCTAATCTGTGTTCCACTGGGACAGGCTAGAATAGATGTGCTCCACTCGCAGAGCAGTTGGGTGTGGTACTTGTGCCAAAACTGTGTATGTTCTATATTTTGTAGTATATGTGAGATGCAGATCTTAAATGGTTTACCTATTGGATTTTGATGTCTTCATTGTTTGTATATTCTCTTTTTTCCTCTTTGGAAGGTTGGATAACACATTAGAGGAAATTATATTTAAGTTGGTCCCTGGACTACGAGAACGTAAGTTGCTCTTTGGGTTCTTGCAGAGTTTTGTGTTTTGTGAAATCACCATTTCTGTTAAAGACTTCATGATTGTGTTTCTATTACTTTTATAATATTTTCTTTTAAATTAGAAGAACTTGAGCGTGAGTCTGAATTTTGGAAGAAAAACAAGCCTCAAGAAAATGGACAAGGTGATTTTTTTTTTTTACTTCTATATCTGATGGAATCTCTCAAATTGGTCAGCTTTTTGTAGCTGTGGTGAACTAATCTGTCTCTTCAAGCTCAAGTTTCTCCTGTACAAGGGGTACAATTCATGTACCCCTTTACATTCTGAACCTTTCTCTGATTATAACTTTTTATATAGAATCATGAGATTTTATATAAATGCATGTAAATCTGGAGTCAGTCCAGTTGAAGGTAATTGGAAATAGAGGAAATTGGGAAGAGAAAAAGGAGATAAAACAGAAAAGTGACCGCTGATTATAGCAATATTAGCTGGAGAGCTAAAGGAGACTGAAGTAAGAAATAGCCGTAGCCCGCAACTAAACAGTGAGGCATTTGCTGTTGTATTTTATTTTGTGTGTTTAATAGGAGAGGGAACTGGGATGTAGCTGAGAGCCAGATCAGAGGATCTTGCTATGCTCTGATAATCTGGAGCAAACTTTTCGTAGGTAGAGCTCAGATGATACAAATTTATATATCCTAAAATTTGAAAAATATTTCTAGACACTTACGGGAATTTTCCCCATCACCTATGCTAAGAGACCAAATTCCCCTTTTGGGTCCCAGGAGCCTCAGAAATCAGCAATTTTTAATAATTAAGGAAAGTGGCAAACATTACTGGGCAGAGTCATGTTTTTAGCGTGTATATAATTCACACAAAAGAAAAAAAAGTACAACATATCTGAAATTATAAGTAGTATCCTTTCCTATCGACATTAAATACGAGGTTTGTTTCAAGATGGCCTAAAAATACCATTGAAATCTTTCAAGGATATATGTCTGTTTTTATAGGCTCACTTGTGAGCTCAGTCTTTCATCCCTGGTTTTTCCATACGATTCACAGGATTGTCAATTACATATCATTAAAATGGCTTTCTCACTTCATATGTAAAATGGGGATCAGAGTTTTTTTAGTTCAACTTAACTGTGCAGGGCTGGCTTCCTATAGCAGGGGAGGTTTGAGAATAGTTTTGAATGATTGGAATAAGGTAGCAAGGGATTATTTTTAATCTATAATCAAAACACTGAAATGGGCAAAGAAGCCAAGCCTGGCAAAAAACAACTTAACTAAAGGCTTGTTTTACCCAAGTGTAAATTGCAATTTAGACAGTAGTGCTATACTAAAAATATAGGTAAAATTGACTGAATGTTCCAGTTTTTGCCTGCTTTTTCAAGAGGACAGGAGCCAGGGCTTGTCGTCAGAAGCTATGGGGTCGGGTTAGTCCATGACTGTGTGTCTTACAGATTGACTAGCGAAGGACTGCAGCCTACTTTGCGTTTATCCCTTTTCCCATATTTCTGCCTTTTTAAAGTATTTTATCATATTTGGTCTTTAGTTTGGGTGAAGAATTTGGACCTTTTCTTGGAGCTGGATCTTGGTTCATAGAAGGCAGCTCCTGTCTATGCGGGTTCCATACAAAAAGGCAGAAGAGAGAACCCACCTGCCCTGTATGATAACATCTGTAATGCTTTTACTACAGTCATTAAAGAGGAGCTAAGTGGTCTTTTTTTCCCCTGGGATTTTCTATACTGTAATGCTTGGCTGACTAATTCTTTCAAGTTTCAGCTTACAGACATTTTATCTGGAAATCTCCCCTGAATCTCTGCTTCACCCCAGAGTTTGGGTTTATTAACTCTGTTATATGTGCCCACCTGGTCTATCTTACCCCTTAGATCAAAGTCCTTATCGACATCTCCGTCTGTTTTCTTTACTTGCCTGTACCTCCTCCTAAATACTCTGACACGATGAGGGTGAGGATGGTAACACTACAGTTTCAATATTGTTTCCTCAGGCTTAGTCTTAACAGAGTTAAAGGCACTCAGTAAATGAATGAATCAACAAATATAGTTGCATTATATGTAGCCTTCTGGTATTTCATAGGTTAAATACATTTGTTTATAGTATGCTACTCAGATTTCTTTGATGGTGTTTTAATGCTACATAGTTACATACATGTTAAAAAAGCTAATTCATTCTACTTATTTCACTAGCTAATTTTATGAACAATAATTTGAAATTTTGAGAACTTAGAGAATATTTTAGTTTGAAAAGAGTACTTGGTTTTAAGTTTTGAATATATATAGAATTTGGAAGTGTTTTTATATCTTATCAATTTCTAAGTGGTCTCATCGCTAATGGCAGTCATTTTTGTGACCAAATATAGCTAGTCCTGAGTCTTTCATTTGGATGTCCCAGTGAGCCTAGAAGTTTTGTAAGCTATGTTCATAAGTCACTGATGGGTTTTTAAAAAATATTTCCATTGTTGAGTGGTTGGGACATTTAAAGGTACTAAAAGTTTCAGTTATATATTCTTCATCAAAAACTGTTAAGAAATGTTTTTAAAGTTTATTTTTGTTTTCATGGTTAGTATATTGTTGCTTAACTATAAAATAACTGAGTTAACTTAGCTTTATTTAAATTATACAGATGATACTTCGAAAGTTGACAAACCTAAAGTAGATGAAGAAGGTGATGAAAATCAAGATGATAAAGACTATCACAGAAGTGACCCACAAATTGCTATATGTCTAGATTGTTTACGAAATAATGGACAATCAGGGGACAATGTAGTAAAGGTGAGTGGACAAGTACAGTTGTTTTTTTCATAATCATTTTATAGTAAACCTTTCATAACGTGTTGATGAATTTTCCTACTGTTTCAGAATGTTTGCTTTCAAATTTTTTATTAAACAAATAGAATGTCATTCTCCGACAGTCTCTTAACCTGCAAATAGCCAAGCAGTTGCTTACTTCAGGCCCCTGATTTCTCAACCTCACAACTGAACCGTCCTGGGTCACTGCCACCACCCAGTGGCCAATGAGGAGAATCACGCCTGTGTTTCTCCTCTTTCAACCTCCTTTTATACCTTTGTTGGGAGTTCATATACACTGTTTTTCCCTTTTTAAGTGTAGTCACCAACTCAGACTCAGATCGTTTCATGTTGGGAAACATCCTCAGCCTTTTATTCATCCTCTTCTGATTTTCTCTTTTGTTTCTCTGTTTTTATTTGCAATTCAAAAAAGCTATCCATGTCATGGCTAATACATTTTATGAACAACATAATTGGTTTTGATGGATGTCATAAAGTACCCGTGAACTTTACTTCCTGTGTGTGATCTGTAGGCCAGTAAGTGGAATTTTTTTTTTTTTTTGCGGTACGCGGGCCTCTCACTGTTGTGGCCTCTCCCGTTGCAGAGCACAGGCTCCAGACGTGCAGGCTCAGCGGCCGTGGCTCACGGGCCTAGCCACTCAGCGGCATGTGGGATCTTCCCGGACCGGGGCACGAACCCGTGTCCCCTGCATCGGCAGGTGGACTCTCAACCACTGTGCCACCAGGGAAGCCCAAGGTTTTTTTAATAATACATTTAATTTTTTAAATGTATTTTAAAAATTCATTTAATGAATTTTTTACTAATACATTTAATGAAATTTTCCTGTCAGGAAGTTAAAAACAAAATTTTTCAACTCTGATTAAGTTTTCCCAGCATCTTGCAAAAAGAAATATGTATTAGCATAGGGATTCAATGAATATTTATCCACTATGTGGATATTAGTCAGTGAAGATGTAAATAATAGGTTTTTTCACTCAGGGACTTTTGGTTGGGTCTTACACATACAAACAGTTATAATACAATAAGGTATTTCATTTAGTTAAGAGAGGTTGGTTGGACAAGGCATGTAATAGAGTACAGCAGTATTTAGAGAAGTGGCCACTGTACCTATTTATCCTTCCAGGCTTCCCTATTGGCTTTTATGCTCTGGTGCAGCACCCTTTCCTTTCTGTCAGTCTTTTCATCAATTTTCAATAACTTTACATTTCTCTCTTATTCCCAGTCATTTCTGTAATCCTCTTTTGGGGATGTTTTTCTTAATAGAGATTATGATCATCCTTTAGCTCTCTAGTACATGAGTTATTATCTTGTAGTGAAAATTAAGTCAATAGGAAGGTGGAATATCTCTTCATAAATAAACGTGAAGTCTGCTTCTCTGCAGGCTTTCTAGTATGAAAGTTATAAAACATTGCATTTTAGAAATTCATCTGAAAAATTAACTACCCCCCGCCTTGATATCCTTTTTGGCATCTTGGACGCTTTGCCATTCCAGTTGACTTTTTATCTTTTCACTCTTTCCTTTATAGACTTTTCTCCATCCTTGTACCTTCATTCTTAAAACCACTTTTACAGCCTACATGACATATACTGTGCTCCCCAATTCTCACCTTTTCTCTCTGGCCACTCCTATACTGTCTCCACTGACTCTACTTCTTCCTGTCTTCTGCTTTATATATGTGAGTATAGCTAATACCTAGTCCTCCACTCAATTATTCTTTCTCTACAGTCATCCTAGGAGGTCACTTCTATTTTTTGTGTTTTCAGCTATTCAAAGAACTTTCAAATCCCAAGTGGAAGTATTTTATCTCTGAATCCCAAGTGGAAGTATTTTATCTCTATCTACTTTCAGTATCCTAGTTGGGAGTTCCACTAATACATAAAACTTAACACGTTTAAAGACAAATTCGTCATACTGTACTTCCACCTAAGTTTACTCCAAACGTGCTGTTTCAGTTATCACTACCATCTTTTTTTTCTTTTTTAAGTTTTATTTATTTATTTTTATTTAACACCTTTCTTGGAGTGTAATTGCTTTACAATGGTGTGTTAGTTTCTGCTGTATAACAAAGTGAATCAACTATGCGTATACGTATATCCCCATATCCCCTCCCTATCCCACCCGTCTAGGTGGTCACAAAGCACCAAGCTGATCTCCCTGTGCTATGCAGCTGCTTCCCACTAGCTAGCTAGTTTACATCTGGTTCACTACTATCTTTCAACCAATCATAGACATTCAAAATCTTGGACGTTTTTGACCTTCTACCCTTCCCCTTCAACCAGTCATAAGTCCTGCAAAATTCCCCTCAGCCCACTGCTGCTCACCTTATATCTAGATTTTTGAAAGTAGTCTGAACTGTTTCCTGTATCCTTAATCTCTTTTATTATCCAGGGCTGAGACTTCAGCCTGAGTGTGTGCAAGCACTCATGGCCACTATCAGGGTCAAGTAGTAGGCACTTTGGGCGCTGTGGGCCATATGGGCTTTGTTGCAACTACTCAGCTTGCTTATTTTAGCAGTAAAGCAGCCGTAGACGATAGTGAACAAACTGGCTTGGCTGTGTTCCAGTTAAACTTTACTAACGAAACTAGATAGCCAGATTTGGCTTGAGGGCTATGGCCATAGTTTGCCACATTCTAGAATCAAGTATTAACTCCTTGTGTTAGCATTCAAGCCCTTTCACTAACCCCTATCTCGATGAGTTTATCTTCCATTATTCCCATCAGTGACTCTGTCTCTCAAGACACATGATTATTGTCATTTATTTGTGAATACCAACATAAAAGTTGGCACCCATGTTTGACAAAGGATTTGCATCCAGAATATGTAAAGGCTTGTATTAAGAATGTTTAAAACCCTCTAAAACTTTGAATAATCCTTCCTTTTTGGCATGTTATATTCCCTGTTCTCACCACTGTCCTAGACTTCTGTCAAGACCCAAGAGACCTCTATTTTTTGTGACGTTTTTTCCACCTTAGTGAATCCCTTCTGAAATTCTAAGACTTGCATTTATTTATTAAATCAGCATTTACTGTGTTCCTAAAGGTACCAGGCACTGATACTGTCTTTTATCTTTTTTGGTGTGTGTTTTTTCCTTGAAACTGGATTACATACCGCTTAAAGACAGAAAAATTATGCCTGCATTCCTTTACAGCCTTCTCAGCCATCTCATTCCTCTGTAGTAGGATGAGATTCTCAAATGTGGTGGTGTAGTAGTTGCATGTATGGTTTATACAGTATACCTACTTCAGTTCAAAAGTCAAGAGCAAGAAGGTAATGAAAGTAGTAGAGTAAGGACCGCCAAAAATTTGCTCCTCCATAAAAGCAGTGAAAAAACTGGCAAAAACTTTCAATTAGTAGGCCCTAAACTGTCACCTTTGGCTGACCTTGAGGCTCTGCACAAGCAGGAAGTGAAGACTTAGTCAGAGTTGTCAACAACCTGGTTGAGTGTTGGAGGTGTGCCCCAAAACTCATATAGAGTCCCTCAGCAAAGACCAGGAGACTTAACTGGGTCCAGGTGTATTTAACTGGGTCCAGGTGTATAAGGAAATCTCTGTTGTTAGCTGACCACTAGGTAGAAACTTCAGTGGCCACATACTGTAAAGAATACAGGCTTTACAGAATTCGTTTAGGAAAGTTGTTAAACAATGAGAAACAAGAAAAAGCCACAACAACAATCCCTGAGGAGCAGGCGGGAGTTTGATTTCCAGTGTTACCACATTATTTTAAATGTTCAGTTTTCAACAAAATATTATGAGACAGTTAGAAACAAGAAAGTATAGCCCATATATAGGAAAAGAAGCAGTCAATAGAAAATGTCCCTGAAGATGCCCAGACACTGAACTTGACTAAATATACATTTAAAAATCATCCATTTAAAATATGTGCAAAGACTACAGTAATCAAAACAGTATGGTACTGGCACAAAAACAGAAATATAGATCAATGGAACAGGATAGAAGCCCAGAGATAAACCCACATACCTAGGGTCAACTAATCTGTGACAAAGGAGGCAAGGTATACAATGGAGAAAAGACAGTCTCTTCAATAAGTGGTGCTGGGAAAACTGGAAAGTTACACGTTAAAAAATGAAATTAGAACACTCCCTAACACCATACATAAAAATAAACTCAGAATGGATTAAAGACCTAAATGTTAAGGCCAAATACTATAAAACTCTTAGAGGAAAACATAGGTAGAACACCCTGACATAAATCACAGCAGTATCTTTTTTGATTCACCTCCTAGAGTAATGAAAATAAAAACAAAAATAAACAAATGGGACCTAATTAAACTTTTAAAAGCTTTTGCACAGCAAAGGAAACCATAAAGAAAACGAAAAGACAACCCACAGAATGGGAGAAAATATTTGCAACTGAAGCAACTGACAACGGATTAATCTCCAAGATACACAAACGGCTCATGCAGCTCAATATCAAAAAAAAAAAAAAAAAAATGACCCAATCAAAAAATGGATGGAAGATCTAAATAGACATTTCTCCAAAAAAGACATACAGATGGCCAAAAAGCACCTGAAAAGATGCTCAACATCACTAATTATTAGAGGAATTGAAATCAAAACTACAATGAGGTATCACCTCACACCAGTCAGAATGACCATCATCAAAAAATCTACAAACAATAAATGCTAGAGAGGGTGTGGAGAAAAGGGAATTCTCTTGCACTGTTGGTGGGGATGTAAATTGGTACATATATCTGGAGCGTACTGTAATTTGAAAAGATACATGCACCCTCTTGTTCATCACAGCCCTATTTACAATAGCCAAGACATCAAAGCAAATTAAATGTCCATCAGCAGAGGAATGGATAAAGAAGATGTGGTACGTATGTACAATGGAATATTACTCAGCCATAAAAAAGCACAAAATAATGCCATTTGCAGCAACATGGATGGACCAAGAGATTATCGTGCTAAGTGAAGTAAGCCAGAGAAAGACAAGTATCAT